CTACACCACTGTGAATCGGTCAAAAGAACGAAATGCACAGTACCGTACATGTACAGCGCATCTGGAGCCGTGATATTAGGTCCATTAATCAGCAATTGTTTTTGTGAACAAGTTAATGTTATTAAAGATGTAATTGAAAGTAATGCATTGCTATTATCAGTTCATCAGCTTAATTCTTTTATCAATTATGGTCACATACGTATTCGTGATTTCTAAAGAAATCTGTATCAGGGACAACACCTTGGTACACTCGTAAAGAGGTCTCATTTATCGTAAAACTAGTTGTATTATTTTTGAACATATAAAACTATTGTTTTAATTATATTTCTGTTGATTTCATATTATAAATGAATTGTATTTGCATTGCAAATTATTACTATAAATTAGTTCTAATTGTACAGTAACTAATTATGTCAATAAAAATAAAATGATGTCATCGTTATATGAAAAAAATACCAAAACCCCTTATTAAAGGGACAATTTCACGTATCCCCCGAATAGGTGTGCCCCTATTCGGCGGACACCCCTATTAAGGGGACAATTTTTTGGGTCCCGAAGGTGTCCCCTTAATAGAGGTTCTACTGTAATCAGCAAGAAAATGTGTTAATTTTGCTAAAAAACACATGTAGGATAACAAAATGGAATCCTGACGTAGATGTTCGTCTGTTGGTGGTAGCTACATGTGTAAAAATGATCATTGTACTTTCGGAGATATTTGGTGGACAGAGAAAAACACAAAACGTTATTTAATAGTATAGATAGATAGATTTTAAAGAGTGCAAAATGAAATTTATGGGCACCTACAGGTCCCTCTTCTCAAAATTTTCTCTCCTCGGCCCCAATCACTGCTGAGGTGATGTGGACTCTCACGCACCACCACCGCCAAATCCTGCGTCCGCCCTAGACATCTGCACACACATTTTCAATCACATTAACATGCACAGCGCCTTGATAGTGCACCTCGGTCGTTTAATTGATGCTTTATAAATTCCAATATAATATTATTCCTAATAACTTTGAAGTAAACATGTCCGACGAAAAACTAGCAATTTTAACAGAAGAATGCAGAATCGAAATTTACTTTTGGTCAAATACTGTACTTTATTTCACTTGCTGGTGGTCAGTTCCATAATACTGTACTCTATGTTACTAGAAATCTTTGTAAATGAATCTCCAGCAAAAGGAAATATTTATTTGTGGCCCATTATATATAGGTCTTATGTTTGAAAATGTGGTCTATTTTTTACAGTCTCCATTAGTGTATCCCTGCTTCACCAGTCATGGTCAATGTAATTTTAAAAATTAAATTAATTTACAATTCTATATTATAACAAGTTTTAAGTATGCAATGTGCAATGTGTTTGTCTTTAAATTTGACATACATAAATTCTGAGTACAATATTTAAAGAATTCAGTAATGAGATGTTAATTACTATATACACTTTAAGCCAAATAGCTTTAATATATGAAAAACGCATTCTGACTATACATTGTGCTTCTGACCGTGTTTGAAATTGATGCTACAAACATTTGAAGAATATTTGTTTTTAAATACTGTATTATCAATAGGCTACTATTATTATTAACCTTTTCTCATTATCCTTCATTACAAGCTTTTTAAGACAATTACTAAATTAGATTACAATATAACATTAATCCTTATGTTCACAAGTAAAATGAACTAAAAGTAATATGTATACAATGCTGAAACTAAGATATCAAGACTAACAGTAATATACTAACTACAGTTTAAAAACAAAGTAGACAAAAATGGTTTTTAAAGAAGAAATTACTATAAACTATCATTTCATAAGATCTATAAAAGTTTATAACTTTTAAAATACACTTAAGACATCACATGTACATAAATAACTGATCTGAGTTATAGTAACAAGAATACCAACAACAGGTATAAAAATGTAGAGATCAGCTACTATAAAGACACTTGTACACCAATAGTTAGCCTAAAATTTGAACACGTTATTCAAGAATAATAATATTAATAATAATGTGCTATCTATATAACATGTAATTAATTTTAACATTTCCATTGTAGAATTGTAATCAAACACAAATGAATCATGCTAAAATCTAAGATTAGAATCAGCATGTAAATACCATAAACCACATTTTCTATAATATAAAAAAAAATATATTTTTAAAAAAAGACATAAAAAATATTTACAAAAATGAAAATATTTTTTCCTACAAAAACATTCAAATGTTTAGGTACCTTTTAAATGTTCTATAAACATGTTTAAACATTTATTTCTTGAAACATGGGCCCTTTGCTTAACTAATTCTTGTTTTTCACATTTATAAAATGCAGCAACATAACACATCAACAAATATCAAAGCTATCACAAAGAATATAATCTCATACTTCTTTTCAAAAAAAGAGTGAAACAATAAATAAGAACTAAATATAAATTGATATCATCGTTCAAACTCAGATTATTCAGTTTAAGGCTGAAAATAACTTACACAAAAAGTAGTTTTTAGACAAAGCCTTGAAATTGAAGACATAGCTATCCATAGAAAGCTAAAGTCCGAATGGCTTTCATTGGTAATTTTTATACATTTAAATACAAATACCTCTCTCACAAAAAAAGAAGAAAAAATGGAATGTAATGTTACTACAGTAGGATATGATTATGTAGATTTAAATTCAAAATCATTGGTCTAAGGTAGAGGTATAAAGGCAGATAGTGCATGAAATGTAATAAGACTGCGAGAGGTAGACAATTGACTGGGCACGATAGCGTACGTAGTGGCTGTACACAGTAGTCAGGTCTGGATATTTAAGTAAAACATTCTAAAATATATTTGGTTACTATTAATAAACATCTTTTAACAGTATATATTTACCACATATGGTATTGCTATATGAAAAGTTGAATTTCATGCATATGTTCTTCTATTATGACCCTTAACATAATCTGAATCTGATATGTAGCGAAACTATGATTAGTTTTAAGTTGCAAAATCAAAGTATAACCTGAGATTAATGTACTGTAGTACACAGTAAACCTTCTATGATTGGTGCAGGTTTAGTACATAATGTAAGCTGTAACTAATGAAACCTAATAATCATATCTATCTTATTTAACGGATTCATAATAGGTTTATAGATTTTCAATTCAGTTACCACCATTTTTTTTTGTACATAGTGCGAAATAGAAGTATAGAAAATCATTCACAGGGAAGTATGCCTTTGTTTAATGTTAAATAATGTATATTAATATGGCAGCATAAAGTTTTTAGTATAAAGGTATGAAACATACCAATCCTCTCATCAGCTTGGGTTTTAACATGTTGACTACCAGACCTTTTTTAAGGTTTCTTCCCATGTGCCAAAACAAGTTTACACGTACAAACATACTTTTTTGAAATTTTATCTAGTCATATACTGTATTATCAAAATGATGTGTCTAATAAATTGGCGGGAAAATATTAGGGTGCTAGTAAACTCGTCCACAGCACTGTGATAGCACGCTTTATTTACTATGCCAAGTGCGAGTTATCTTGTGCGCTTTTTGCATGGGTTGGTATATGTTTAAAGTGCGCCCGCAGTCATGCCGTTCAAGTGTACTACTGGCAACATAACACAACAGAACACACATATTATGTCCATTGTACATTATTGTGTAGGTGTATCTTCCTCGAACTACCAGCCGTTGAATCTGTGGTTCTACAATGTATAACAAAGAAGTTATAAATGCTAGAATGTTACCCCGATTTTGACGAGTAAACTCGTCCCTGGCGCCCTCAGCAACACCCTGTGGGCGAGTATACTAGTCACTGGCAGCCAACATGTTAACAGACTTTCTTGTTTCCATTTTGGCAGTGTTAATTTTTAGAAAATAGAATCTAAATTTGGATTAACTTTCAGTTATGTCATTTACTTATATTTTTCAATAAAATCTAACCTTAGCCTGTGTGAAGACGTAGTTAAACAATTACTGTCTATATATTTGCTACATATACATGTAACACTATTCATTCTTTTCTTTCTAAGTAATATTTAACAAATTCCGACATACTTTTTTCTATATATATTCAACTCATATATTTCCACATACAGTATGTGATGTCCCATTCTAAAAATTGTTGAAGTACTGAACTTGTATAAACAGCTAGAAAATGATCAACCACCCACCCCTAGTGTTGTCAATACATCAGCTACATACAAAATATTTCAACACTTTTCACTCTTCTTTCCTTTTCATTCTAAGTAATATTTTCCTGACATACATTTGATCCATATTTTCAAATTATATATTATCACAGATGTTGTGAATTTAATTTACTGTGGCCTGAACATGTTTACACTTGTAATCGGCAACAATGAATCGCATTAGGGTATGAGCTTCATAGCATTGACTTCAACCAATGAAAATAAGGCACATTTCTTTTTCGGCATTCCACAATACTAAATCATGGTATAGTGATGTTTCTTGGATGGAACTTGAGTGGTTCATTTTCTACGGTAAAGTGATCTTTGACTGTAGAGGGCGCTGCAGCATTTCTAACTTGTATGACATGTGTATCCATCACTTCGCAGTCTATTTGCATCATGGACATATAGTCAGCATTGTGACTGCCCACTGTGGAGTCTAGAGAGAAATAATACAGTAGTTCTCACGATGAATGTGAATGAAAAAAAACCAAATAATGTGTAATCCCATGCACTACTAAATTATGACATCGGACATAATATAACATCACTAAATTAAAACCTGCATATGTTACGAAATATGGAAAACAATCAAAAATTTAAAATAAAAATATTTAAATGGCTCATTTATAATATTATGATATCAATCAAAGACAATAAATGAAACAATTTAGTTTTCTTTCAAAGGATGCAGGATTAACTATACTACTTCTAAATAATTATTCTTTTCCTTAATTGCCTGGTTATAAATATATAAAAGATAATAAATATTAATTCAGCTTTCATTAATTTATACTTTTTAATATGAAATAATTGATAATCAGCAAATTTAAGGGTCTATGCATGGAATATTTATTTAGGATATGTATATGTATGAATCAGTGGCAAGGAAAATTACTTCTTGTAAAGACTGGCTCTGGAGAAAAAAAATTGTTTTGATATGTTGTACAACTGATTTTTTGAAGACACAAAAAGCATATTTGACGAAAAACTCAGAAGTGGTTAAAGAGATACAAATTTGTAAATTTTTCCTAATTTCATTAGATCAACAAAATATACTTTCAAGATAATAAAAATGTACTTTTTAAATAGATCAAGAAATCGAGAACTTCAAATAATAACAAATGCAAGCTCACCATTAACTCTTAAAGCTGGCATCAATACAGATATCTTAGGCCTTCCGGTATTATTGTGTTGAAGAGCTGGTAGAAGTAAATGGTCCTACACAAAGGCAATTCAAAATTTAATTAATTTCTAATATTAAATTAACATTTTATTTTTAAATACAATATAGTCTGTTAACAATGAAATATTGTTTAAATTAATAGAACAATTTGTAAGTCACCAAAATGAAAAAAAAAAAATATGTTTATAAATTTGACAGGCTCTTGGTAAATATAAAAATTGAGTTTATGGTATAATTAAATTTTTAATTCTTTACAAGTTTAAATCTTTCAATCTTAAAAGTTTGAGTGTTTATTTCATTGGATATCCGCCAAGAAGGTTTTTAGAAAACAGCTTTCAAAGATTCCTAAGTCAGTTGTAACATTAAGACGTAAAAACAATTATTTTTAATTTATTCTAATATATTTTTCAGTTTATATTAGTAATAAATGATATTTTAGTAGAATTGTTCTCTGACATCTCTTATAACATCTAACAAAAAAAAACCTGAAATGTGTCAAAATACTGAATTCCGGGGTATAGCTGCAGGTGGAAAATTTTACATGCTGACTTACTTTTATGCTACTATGCTATACTACTATAAACAATTTTTTTTTCTTTTAGCTACAAAATTCTAATAAAACTAATCTACTAACAGCATAAGTATAAAAGCATACCCTTCTAAAGGACACAACATAAAATGTGTCATTTTTCCTATCAAGCGCATCCAGTAGGTTAGCGTAGCGTCTGTCAAACAGGTTATCGTACAGCTGAAGGCCACGTTCGTCTGTGTTCTCCATCTGAGATGTCATTTTACGTGCCATGTCACGTTTTCTTCTTTTAAGAGATTTCTTTAAAAAAAAATGTTTGTAGAAAATAAAATGCCAAAATTAATGATAAAATGAACTAGTATAGCTAGTGTAGTTAATTAATTACATACACACTAAATAACCATTTTGTTTCAGCTCAATCTATCAAGTATAAAATAATAAAAAGTACAATAAGAGAAAAATATTAATTAATATTATTCTTACAATAAACAATTATAACAGGTAAACTAGATTTGAACTCGTCACTGAGGACGAGTTTGGTGATCCGCCGAACTTTGACCCTCAGGAAGCGCGAGCGGTGCGTGTTGAAATGTTTTTTAAATGCTCAAAAATGGTCTAAAATATGCTCTAGTTAGTTTTTTAAAAAGTGTAATATTAAACAATTGAAAAGATTTATGCATGCATACACAGACGTCTTGACGCCTGTGCACATGTTAATGGCACAAACAGTTTACTCTTGGCCCGGGATTTATGAATCTCAGCTTAGCAAATGTCTTAAGTCAAAAAAGTTAAGATGTCAGTAATAAATATCTCTTAAGCTGATTTATTACCCAATCTTAGCAAAATATTGGCTTAAAAATCGTCTTAGATGGTGTCCGTGTACAATTTTCTAAATTTTCTAAATTTTTAAGCTAAGCAATATTGATAAATTTGACTTAAGCAAAAAATGTACTTAAGACGAATTTAAGCTGAATCCTAGTTTGATAAATGTGGCCCCTGTTTAGTGTCAGGAACCCAAAACATAAAACAAAACGTAATTCCCAGCTTCAGTAAGTGCACTGCGCATGGAAATGAGCGTACGGTGCGTAAATTATGGAAAGTTTTGGGATGCTGAAAATGACCTGAAACGTTATTTAAATTATCTGAAAAAGTGTTAATGAGAACTCCCAAATTTTACCGTACACGCACGTCACGACATGCTTGTGGACGGTAATGGCACAAGAAATTGACCTTCTATTGGTCTGATAGCGTCGAAAAACAGTCTGCCGCCCTCTATCTGAAAAGTGATATTGAGAATTTCCTAATTCTTCCTTACAGCACGTCACGACGTACTCGTGGACGGTAATGGCACGAGAAATTGATAATTGTCAAGAGTAAATTAAAAACCCCTGTTGGTTGGTAATGCCACACAAATTTTCCATTCATAATTTACTATATATCAATCTGATATCGTCGAAATACAGTCTGCCGCCCACTGTTGTCAATGATATTTTATAAATTTGAAGAAAGAGAGATGAGAGGGCTCCAAAGATTCATTCTTTTTTACCATGATGACGTCATCAAAATGAAAAATAAAGGGACACTTCCGAAAGAGAATTATCTCAGCTATAACTTACTCATAGTTGGGAGACGATCAATCAAGAATAAGCGAGATACGTTCAAACGAGTATAAAAAGAGTGACGTCATAAAGAAAAAAATCAGTTTTTTCTTAATTCAAATGGCAATAAGTTGACGTCACAATGTCCGATCAGCCATTATGATCTATAACATCATATATACAACTCATGTGCTTTCAGAATATGTAATAAAAATTGGGGTTACCTTTCATCCTAAGGAGCTATAACTGATTAAAAATATATATATGGTTTTAAGCTTTTTTAAATTTTTTAGCACGCGTACGTGCACGCTTAAAAGGGAAAATTAAGGTACATGACATTTAACCTTGACCTGAAGATTATGCTCACTTAATATGATTCAGAAATGACGAATGGTTAAGATGATATGAGCTCATCAACGTTTTGAGGAAAGACAGATGTGGGGGGTCAAAAAACAATTTTTTGACCATGATGACGTCATCAAAATGTAAAAAGAAGTCAAACTAGATTTGAACTCGTCACCGAGGACGAGTTTGTTGATCCGCCGTACTTTGACCCTCATGAAGCGCACGCAGTGCTGATTGAAACGTTTCATAATATGCTAAAATATGCGTCGAAATACAGTCTGCCGCCCTCCCTCTGTTCTATTTTTTTTACATCTTTTAAGAATGAGATTTAGAACATGATGACTGAAAGCACATATGCAAATTTGAGATATCATGCGAACAATAATTGCCAGAAAGTGGAATAAAAAAAAAAAGATCTCTGACAATAACAAGAGGTGATCCGCAAATGCTGCGGATCACCAAAAAATTTGTATTGTACTTGTCTTATTACATAAGACATTCTTAAAAAATAATATAAATATTATTATTATTATTAAACAACAATTATTTCAACCAAATACTGTAATAATAATGGAAAATTAAAAAATAACAGTTGGAAATTATACTTACGGTTCTTTTACTTTTCTTTGCACTTTTTTTTTTCTCTTGCTCATGACCAAACACCCAACCCTTTAGCTTATCTGCCAACCTAATAAGAACATTAAGGGAAAAACCTCATCATTTTTTATCAATCAATAATGGTCAAATCTGTATAACTCCAACATAAAAGATTTAGAACATGATGACTGAAAACTCCATTTTACCAGGTCTACTGACAGAAAGGTTAATAGTACATATTTTAAGGCAAACAGTGCCCTCCATTGTTAGAAAGAGAATGTATTTGAGTTGATACTACTGATCAGTATATTTCCACATTTTAACGGAAATAAAATTTTTGTTAATATTTTTTATAACATTATCCCATTGTTCATCCTTTTATTTTGCATAGTAAAAGGTACTCACAAGTCTACTTTTTAAAATAAAAACACCCTGTTATTGCCTATCATAGATAATATGGTAGTTTACAAAAAACATCTCTTTCTCCGATTATTTATATTATTACTATTTTTTATATTATTATTATTATTATTAATGAAACAAAAAATTAGTAGAATATCATTGCAATTCAGACTAAGGTTTTTTCAGTGAAATAATAATAACTCTGCTCTCATATAGACATAACTGCAAGGGTAATAATTTCAGAATTACATTTGCAACTGTTGGTGGTGCTTACCGTAGGACTTCCGTTGAATTGAAAGGGCAAGATGGATGAGCCTTGGATATGGGATAATCACTCATATCATTCAACACCATAAGCTGGTTCCGTTCTTTATCCGTGAACATTACTTGATTTCTCGATATGAATTTTATTATGTTTTCTTCACCATTACTGCTACTACTTGATATATTGTATATGGAGACATTGTTCTCGTTAAATGAAAGTAAATTCCTACCACTATAAACTGTTTTGACATATTCCGGCACTGTTGCTCCTTTGTTAAATACACTAGATATATATCGAAATGAGAGAACAAAAATATATCATTATGACAAAATATCTTTAAAACAATCATTATACACCAAGCATTATTAACCACACGAAAAAAATACCTGACTGAATCAAACTGACATCATTCAAACCAAAATCATAATACTCAACTATAACTAAATCATGAATAAACATAAATTAATAATCATCCAATTATTATTATTGTTAAAAAATATCCGGCCTCTAAAACAGCTTGATACTCTCCCAGCTTCTTTCAAAATATCCTCATTTGTGTTTAAACTACTGTTATCGTTTTGACATTGGCCTCTGTTAGAATCTGTTTTAACTGATGCACTTTCTGTCTGGAACATGATACAGATTATATGATGTTAGCTTTCATTGTTTTGAGTTACCATTATTAAAAAGGTTTAGATAATTAAATTACTACAATCATTATTCCCATCAAAAGCATTATCACCCATAGCACAACCAGCAGGTTGGGCTATGGGTGGTTGTACACAATCAATATTATCAGCCCTCATACCACAATAATCATCACCTATACCATAATAATTAGACCATAAAATTACCATCACCTATACTGCAACCATCAGCACACTAACACAATGATCAGCATTCATAATCATGTCTATACCACAACCATCAGTAACCATACAATTTTCATACCACAACAACTACCAACACTAATACCGCAATCTGTCACAATAGCAACAACCTTCATCAAGTATACCACAACAACCATCAGCACCCACAATCAGCAACAAGTCTTCTATACCTCAATGGAGCTACGTTGAAGCCAATAATAAATACAACTGCTAACAAACATGTGGCAGTCTTGGTTGTTGAGGGCAATATTGACTGCATCCTGGACAAGGCGTCATACTGAAAACAGATTAACATGTATTAGATCTTAGGGAAGACGTTAAAGTTCAACAATTTATTGTTAAGTTCTGAGGACAAATAGAAAATAGAAAAACAATTGCTTGAATATCGCAAGACAATTTTTGAAGATTGGCTGCAAATGCACTTTAAAGCGTGTATGTGTGAGTTTTATCACCAGTTTAAAAAAGAAAATAAGTCCTCTTTCTTATGCAATCATTACCATGATAACAGAATGATAACAGATGAAATAAAGAGAGAATCTCTTCTTTCTCAAATTATTGCGATTTGCAGAAATCTCACAAGTCCTGCGATTTAGAATCCAGCGAAAACAGAAAAAAATGGATGGAGATTGTGAGAGTTGCATCTAAAGTGCTCCCACGATCTGACAGCTAGCCAACAAGTGATGGAAGTTATGATGAATCAACTACACTATTTGCAATGTTAATGGTACTACTTACATCCTGTCTGAGCACCTCCAACTGTTTTTTGAGTGATTTGTTTTCCAATTTGAGTTGCTCATTTTCATCCTGGATGTCTTGAATTTGAACTTCAAGATTTGTTAAATACTGAAAAAAGCAAAGAAAAGCACAGTAAAAAAGATGAAAACAAGTATTATCATTTATAAAGAGTATTTCGACAAAACCATGTTGTGAATACATACTTCTTCAGCATATTTTAACTGTTGTTCATTTATATAGGCAGGTCACTGTGTGTATCGGGCTTCGCACATTGAAAAAGGTTTTATTCCATCCTTAAAAGTGATTGGTTGTAGGGGGAGGGTGGTTACAAAAAGAGAGTAAGACTGCTAACGAGGGGACAATCAGGAAAAATGGGCTTGTTCCTGTCTAACTAGTACAAACATTTGTGTATCCTGACCAATTAAGGCTAGCAAGTCTAGTTTCCTTTGAAAGGTGTAGATGAATTTAACCCTAAGACAGCCAAGGGTGTTGCAGAATTACAGAATTAGCATCATATTGTCTAGGCATACAATAGCTAAGATACTAGATGGGAATCTTCATATTTAAGTATTTATTGCACAAAAACATTGTAAGATAGTACTGTGGTGCTTAAAACCTTTATGTTAATTTGCCTTATTATTATTATTATTAGGTCAAACAAAAAATACTGTAAACACATATTTTATTGAAAAAAAAAAAAAATTATCCTACTGACCTACATATTTTTTTTGTTTTCCCAAAACGTGGCCAAAACAATTTTTTTTTGTTTTGTTATTATTATTATTATTATTATTATTATTATTATTATTATTATTATTATTACTAAAGATCCTTGCATTGACTTTGAACAACCTATAGCTTTACTTTACATTAAAAGAATTTATTTTTTACTGCCTAAATGGAAACTAAGTTGAGGAGCATTTTTGAGTACTAACCTCTTTTTTCTTTTTCCTTGATAAACAAGCTGATTCTCTATTTTTAATCATTCTTTGTTGCCGCTTCCACAATCGAATCTGAAATTAAATAAACACAATACAGATACTCTTTACTATCATAACAAAAGCCTAGAGATTTGTTATCACTGCTGCATTATAATTCAAGTAAAATAAACAGACACCATTCGAATAACATATTAGTCTTGTTGATTTAGTTGAAAGAGTGTATGTCAACATGTTTCCATTACTGGCATATTTTAAAGATTAATATATTTATTCAATTTCCTTTCACGAGGGTAGCCTTACAGCAAAAGCAGACTCACTGAGGACATCATATAAATCAGTTGTACTATAAACAATTAATAAATGACAGTCCAATGCATTTAACTCTGGTGTGTTGCAGGTATCCATGTTTTTTTTCTCCTGATAATTGAAGACTGGTTTAGGTTATTACAAAATTCATTGTCTTTTATTATATTTCTTTATGTATTTTTTTTCAGATGATCATTAAATGCTGATTTTAGGAAATTTTAGGAAACAATAAATTGTCAATGAATTAATTAAAAATTTTGATGTTTGCCTTTTTATGAAGGTTTTTTAATGACAAGACAAAGTTTAATGTTGACCTTAGTTATTTATCCGGTATTTAATATAATTTAATGTTATTTTATTTTTCAACTGTAGTGAAAACCATTAAAAAAGAAAAACTTCAGTCTCTGACAGCCTGATTTGCTTTATTCTTACTCTTCAATAGAAATGTTCCTTAAGTATTGATAGGCATTGGTAATTGATTTTAAATTTAATTTACACTCAAATGTTAGAAACTCACATCTACATCTGGCGGACATGTTGGAAATTTCTCACTTGCCACTGGGTTAACCACTGGCATCTTAACATTGGTATTATTACTCAGCCTAGCTTGTTTGGCTGGAGGAGGCTGTGTACAGGCCACAGTGGAGCTAGTGCTAAGTGGAGCGCCATTAGATGGAGCGAGGACAAGTTTTGGACCAACAACTGAAAGAGAAAGCACATAAAATTATTCAAGTAATAGTTATTAGACATTTTTTTTTTTAAATTATTTATTTAGGCACACAATACATGTGCCAAGGATTGTCAATAGCGAATATATCACTGTCCTACTTGTAGGTGGCAATCCCTTTCACAAGACAAACATACACACACGATGCTTTACACAAACTAAATCTCAATATGAGATTTAGGGAGTGGAGTTGTTTTGGTTGTGAGATTTTAAAGATATAATGTGCGCCAACCAAAAATGGCAAACACCTTAAATATTTAAATAAAATCACAAGGTAATTTACAAGGATTAAGTAAGCTATTAACTTTAAACTAAAAACAGGTTTTAACAATTTAGTTTTTGCTGATTTACTAATTTTTTTCTACCAAAAAATTCCTTTAATTGATTACCAGCCAATTTAAGGGTCGATGCAAAAAGAACACAGTAAAAGTATTGTTTAACTGTCCGTTAAATAACAGGGACATTCTTTTCACATTCAAATTGTTTTTATTTTAATTTAATAACTTACTTTAAATAAGCAATTAGAGTAAGCAGTTGAATTTCACAAAAGTGTTTTAGCTCAAGACAGTAGGTCTTTAAAGTTATATATTTATTATGCTCCAAAACAGCATGAACCAACACCTACAAGTTGTGCAATGTAGCTATATATTGTGTTTTAAGTACTTTTACTGTAAAGCAAGAAGATCTGAATTATATCAGCTTTTACTTGAAGCACTAGAAATACATACCTGACACTGGGGTGATCTTTATAGTATTTGCTTTAGATGTATTCACTATGCTTGGATCTGTCTTGGGAATTATAACTTGGCGTATAGTCTGGGGTCTTGGGAGGATGCGCTTTCCATTTTTCGGCCGGACTTGATTCTGTCCAACTATGACCTCATTTACAACATTGATGCCATTAACTGCAGGTACAAGTTGAGGTGTATTGTTATCAACAGGGGGGCTGAGTGGTGGTGTCTCAATCTTTAGTAGGTCCAGCTGCGATGTACTTGTTGGACTTGAAATACTCTGGAAAAGAAAGTAAACACATTTAAAACTAGCACTTTTACTGTATAGCAAATGGTACAGTAACTTAAAAACATGGATGCTAAAGTATCATCATTTAATGATGTAATTTTTAAATAGAAATTTCAATATGTATATATTTTACAATATTTTGTATATTTCAAAACAAAATACTATTTTTTTCAAAAGTTTAGTTTAAAATGAAATCATAATTCTTTTTATAATTTTGAAAAAAAGTTCAATCACAAAAAAGGACTTTTAACACAAAACTACCAATATTGATTTGAGATCTTCATTTTCCTGATATGATTAATAACAAAAGCAAAATCAAGTTTAAAAAACACCTGAGTTTTTTATTTTTATCTTTTAATACTAAGAGATAAAAAAAAATCCAATTAAAACTTGACATCAAAGTTATATAAATTGTAAGTACAAACACTTGGAATCATTAATAATGGTAATGATGAAGGTTGTATAATTAAAACAACAATTTAATTAAATATTATTTAATAACAATTTTATAAAATAACCTCTAATGTATCCAATATTACCAATCATCAAGATCAGTTGTGCCTCTTTTGAAACCCCTTGGATCTCCAACTGAACATACTTTTGTTGTATGACATCAAAATTTGAATAAATTATACTGACAATTAAAATTATCATTACATCATATAAAACAATACGTACTGGGAAAAAGTTTGGAAATACTAAAAGATAGAAATGTTGGATAGAAATAATGTACAGCTTAGTGTTCAGTGCATTATTGTATTGAAAATTTCACACTGACAGCAAATTAGTCAGAGTCTTTCTATGCAGGTATTGTACAACTGAGTGTGTTTCTATGGTAACTGACTGAACTCTACTATAATGAAGAAAAATACACAATGAACTATCAGCATACTATAAAGAGGACTATGGTGAATTTCAAATGGAAGAATAATGAAAAATAGTCAGTTTATAAGAGTTCTTTCTTCTGAGAGGAGCTACAGTATATTGTTATGACAGCCTTCCAAACCCAGGGTTCAAGGGTTAAATGTCTGTAAACATCAGTTGTAAATCCATTCTAAATTACCTATATTAAAATAAAAACTATATGAATACTAGTTTATCATCTATTGTAAGCGTAAACTAGTAGATTTGTTTGTTTTGTTTGTTTTATTGTTTTTTACCACACACACATAAAATATAAATTAATCAACGATAAATATTACAATTGAAATTACATTTCAAAAAAAAAAAAAAGTGTGCGGTAGGAGGTCAAAATAAAGTTTGTAAACAAAATTTAAGACATGACCACCAATAGTAAATAATAAATAATAATATAATAAATAAATAATAATACATAATAATAATAATAATAATAAATAAATAATAATACATAATAATAATAATAATAATAATAATAGTAACAATAACAACAATAATAACATCAATAATACATATGTACACACACACACCAACACACCCCCACATACATGCACGCATACACACACAATGTTATAGCTAGTGTAGTATGCATGCTTGTAATTTAGACTTACATGATTGCCACTGTCCGCTGAGTCTTCAGAGCAAGTTGACAAAGGTGACAGCGGCTCTGCTTTTATACCCAAATCTATAAACAATAACATTTCAAATGCGTTTATAATAGATTTCAGGTTTTTAGGCCTGACATGTTGCCATTTGTGTTATGCGTTTCTAGTTACTTTATCTGATAATGTTTTATGTTTTTGCTTGAAAGATTACAGGTTGTATTCATTTATAACTAAATGTAATGTACAGTACACTCCCAAATCAAATATCTCATATTGATTGAATTGTTTATATTTCTATAAGTAATCTTTCATTTCATGGAAATTAGAATAAAACAAACAAATACATGAACAACAGTGAGTAAGGGCTTCTAAAACTATGCAACATCTGGCAAAGAACTCTACAGACTTCAACGCAATAACTGTTCTACAGTACAGTTACCAAGAATCTACAATATGCTATTTTAAAGAGCTGTGTAGTCAGTTTACTCCTAAAATGACCTACAATACTTACTTTCAATAATATCAGGGTTTCCTGAATTTAGATGATCCCATGGATCTCCAAGTTCATCAGCAAACCAATCTGCGACACGGGGGTCAACCAATTCTCCAAGAGGATTCTGCAGTAAATAAACATGATAATATTATAAAAAGTTTGTTTGATATGTAACATATTTTCATCATGGTCTGAAGCATACTGTATTCAAAACTCAGGACAGCCATCTAAGTTCATTCCCCCTATTTTTCATAATGAGACACCAATTTGTTCTGTTGTGTTCTGATACTAATATCAAGGCTACAGTAATTGAGTGCCGTAACATTCATTCAAAATTTAACTACAGTCCAGTATCTGTACCCACTTTCACAATTTACTTGTACTGTACTTATTTACAGTAAGAGGAGTGCTTAGTGAAATAATAAATGTTTAGTGTGGCACTTATTCAACAAAGTGCTTACTTTTTATCAATTCTGGTAGGCCTACAGTACTGTGTACAGTACATTGGTGGGGATGCTAAACAACAAACTACATCATTGCGATGCTAATAGGAAATGCAGCTTTGTATTATAAGTGACCAAAGTAAAAATTATGAATTTTTTCACAAGAGTATTTTAACCTACTACAACTACAACTGTGTATATGGAATATAATACAAGCCTCATCAAGCTACAGACTCTACTCCAACATAGAGTACTGTAATGTTTTCCCAAGTGCAGTAAAGTGTAACAATTTAACTATAGTCTATTGCATACAACAACTTGCGTAACTTATGTGTAGTATTAACCCATCATTTTTCCTTCATTGATGTTTAAAAATTAGTCTTTTCTCAGTTCGACTATGGTTTTATACATCAATTGATAACTCTGTATTTATCAGAAAAGCATACCCTAAAATTTGATCCATCACTCAGAAAATGTTCACTGCCTGAAATACTGTCTGCTAAAATGTCCAACTTGCCAAGATCATTGTCTAGGATTAGAAAAGAAAGCAAATGTTGTAAAAGCATACAGTATTTATTAAAATTACCAAGATAATCCTAAAAACAACGAAACATTAAACATACTATACTCCCACCTACTGTACATGAATTAAAGTTCGAGTAACTTTCAAAAAGCAGAAAAAGAAATATTTCTTTGCCAATTAACATGTGTACTTTATGTAATCATTTCTGCTATGCAGTTCTCAGGTTAGTAAAATGTATTCTCAGTAATGTACGGTAAAGTACAGTAGCATGGTAAAGACTTAAACTAGGTAAATTTTATTTAAAAAATCTTAAAATTGCTGATATTTTTGGTTGGTTAGGTTGCATACCTGGGCTTGTGATTATAGAGGTGAGTTTATTGCACTCCCACACCATACTGTAGCTCACATAAACTCATCTTCAGGGGTGTGAAAAATAGATGACACTGGGTTTGAAAATCACACACCTTGAAAACCCAACTACTGTACTGTATGTACAGTATTTTGTGTTACTTTCAACTCCAACACAATCTTGATGACTGCAAGGGTTAGTATTTATGTGTACAGTATACAACACAGGTGTGCAAAGTGTGATATTTTTTTTTGTGGCCCGCGAAAAAATAAATTAAAAATCCTTTATAATTATGTGGCCTGTCAAGCAATATTGGCTAGAAAACACCATCATACTGTATGTAAAAGGTAACACTAGAACTGAGAATAAAGCGGTGTAAAACAGCGCTTGGAGGTTTTTGGAGGCTCACTAGAAACATCAAAGTTTCTGTAGGTGCGGCCCTTGATGTTAAATCAAAACATTCACTTTGGCCCGCCGACCAAATTTTATGCCCACCCCTGGTATACAATATAGGCCTACCCAATTTCAGTGTTCACAGAAGCTTTACAGCATTCATTTTGAAAAAAGCACCCCCCCCCCCCATCTTTAATTTGCAAAAGTAGCCTTGAAAAGAAGCCCATCCAAAAAACAGAAGCACAGGGCTTTAATTCTAGGTTTTACAGTATGTATGTACATTCCATTTATTTAAAAAAAAATAATAATAATAATATGTCATTCTTATATAGCGCTTAATGCCTTAACAAAGCCTCTAAGCGCTTCACATTACTACCCCGGTCATTGGATCAAACACATAAAGAACACATTGAACACCAAATTAAATTATTAAATTAAATTAAATTTAATTATTCCATAACATTGTGGCTAGTAATCAGCACAGTTGTGTTGGAATCTACCAGGTACCCACTTGTACTACTGGGTGGAGAGAGGCAACCGTAGATAAAGTGCTTTGCCCAAGTTTCGAACCCCCGACCTCAAGGTTGGGAGTCCAATCCAAGCCACAACCGATGCGCCAACCGCTTCTAAATCATAGTGTAAGGCAAGACTTTTTTATACCTTGTTTAGCAACCACTGCCCACTAATGATGATTTTGAATAAAATTAAATTTTTTTTTTTGCCAAAATTCGCAAACCATGAAAAAAAAAATTGAAATTTGTTTCGTTTTTTTTTTTAATTATAAAAAATCGAAAAAAAAAGAAAATTATATTCAAATTTACAATAGTCTGAGAGTGCCATTTCTGGCCACCTGGAAGTGCTGTAATCGTGAATTTTCTTACCTCAGCCCCAACAACCATGTGGGGCTGAGGTGGTATTAACGCCCTATCTGTGAAAGTCATGGGTCACCACAGAATGTGGATTCTGAAAGTGGGTCGCCACCTAAAAAAGGTTGAGAATATTCATTTCCTGATTCATTCACTTAAATTATCATTTATTTTCTTAATTCATCATTATTCTATAATAATAATATAAATGTCAAATATTATATGAGTCAAACTGATATCTAATGTGACTGATAAAAACATGGGCGTTTCAATTACATCGATTCTGATAACACAGCAAGCCACAACAAGCAACAATTAGGCCTGCTATATCCTCCAAGCACGGGCCTAGGCTAGCAAGTCTACGTGTACACACGCCGTATTTTAAACCTACAGATAGCTCTAAACATACACACTGCACTTGTTTCGGGCTGGACGATGAATGGACAGTAAACTTAATGATTTATACATACCCCAGTCTTCAGATGGCAGAAAATTGTCTGTCAGATAAGTTGTATCGGCTACAGATACAAAATCTAGAGACATTTTTTAGGGGCTAAAAAAGTTAACCTTTCATTAAAACAGGAAAATATGTTAAGAATACAATATTTTTTCCGTGTGCGGTGTTTTGTGTATCAATAATGCTATCCCATAGTACATATTAAAATTAGTTGTAACCATCCAGACACTATGTGAACGACTGGTACATTTCTCTCCCATAATGCACTAGTCCTATAATGGTACATGCTCGTTTGCTCGAACTCCTTCCCTCCAGGGGGTTTGTTGACAAACAACTAAGCCTAGAGCCTAGGCGTCAACAGAGAAATTACAGTATGGCTTCAGTCACAATCCGTGCAGTAGAACGGAAAAAAAAAGAAGGAAGTTTTAAAGAACCAGAAAACCTGGTTACACCAGGTGATGTCATAACAACAGAAAGTGGTGTAATGAGGTAAACATGAAGATAAAACCATTAAATTTGGTCTTGGCCCTAGACCTAGGCCTAGGAGAGACAGGGATCAAACACATAAAGAACACATTGAACACCAAATTAAATTATTAAATTAAATTAAATTTAATTATTCCATAACATTGTGGCTAGTAATCAGCACAGTTGTGTTGGAATCTACCAGGTACCCACTTGTACTACTGGGTGGAGAGAGGCAACCGTAGATAAAGTGCTTTGCCCAAGTTTCGAACCCCCGACCTCAAGGTTGGGAGTCCAATCCAAGCCACAACCGATGCGCCAACCGCTTCTAAATCATAGTGTAAGGCAAGACTTTTTTATACCTTGTTTAGCAACCACTGCCCGCTAATGATGATTTTGAATAAAATTAAATTTTTTTTTTTGCCAAAATTCGCAAACCATGAAAAAAAAAATTGAAATTTGTTTCGTTTTTTTTTTTAATTATAAAAAATCGAAAAAAAAAGAAAATTATATTCAAATTTACAGTAGTAATACATACTCCAAGTATTGAAATACACGCCATCGTGTTGGGATTCAATATTTCGACATTAATTATGTCATCATCAGGAATGAAAAAAATTATCCATATTAGCAAGCTTATATGCACTAGTCTCTTATACACATCTAGTGGGGTCTAAGAGACAGTACATATACATA